GGAGTATACTCTTCTTTCCACCAACAAGCAGATTTGGGCCATCGGTGGTCAGTTGTCAGGTACCAGGAACAACACCGTTAAGACAAGTGTGCTGAATGTTGAGCATCACGATCCCCACCTTCAATGGGTATGGGTAGATGGCCCGGATCTGTCTTACGCTGTCAACCAAACTTCAGCAGCTGCTTGGGGTGACAATGGGGGCGTCTTGTTTGGTGGTCAGAGCGAACAGAATCCTGCCCCCCTTATGCGATTGCAGAATAATACTTGGTCGGCCCTGGAAGCAAAGGGAACCCCACCATCACCACGACTCTACCCGTGCATCGCAACCAGTGCGACGACGATGTATATATACGGAGGGCGAATCGTGAATCCAACTGCCCAACCAGACCCACTACTGTATGAGCTGAACTTGGGATCTCTCACATGGACCAGCCACGACCTACTCACCACAACCGGTAAACCCCATCCTCCCTCCATCTCAGACATTTCATGCCATCTTCCTTCTCCGGGACCGCCGGCGGACCCATATTTACACGTCTTCTCCCAAATATCAACTCCGACATTTAAAGGCCCTGCAATGCAAGTACTCGATTTGAACACCAAGACGTGGCAGGCGCTTAATGAACGCATACTCGTGAAGACCGAGCTTACCAGCGTCGTTCAATCATCCCCGGACAACGCAAACAGTTCCCATGGAAATTCTTCAATCGTCTATATTATTACTCCCATCGTCTTCCTCATCGTGATTCTGATAGGTTTCGCGACCTGCATCATACGAACTCGAAGACGCGCCAACAAGACTCCAGCCAACATAACTACACCTGGGTCCAGCCTTGTTCCACCCCCTCTTCATCTCTCCGTGGGCCAAGCACCATCCTCTCCAACGCACGATCCGATAGGCGCCTACGACGACATCGAAATGCACCACCTTGCTTGAGCGCTCCACGAGTCTGAGACGGCAGATAGACGAGCCAACCAAACCTCAAAACCCACCCCACTCTCCTCCTCATTTACCACTCACATACGATAATCTCGTTGCCTCCGTCGGGCCCTCTACGGCTGCATCATCATCTACAGACATATATAGGCCCGTGAACTCCCCGCATAACACCATGACAGCACATAATACCTTACCCTCATCAATACCCACTGCTTCCACAAAGCACGTAATAGATATGTAGATTAGAATCATTAGATTAAGCTTGTTTTAATTGTTTATCGATCGAATTTAATTTAGAATTTTTGGAGTCAGTCAAGGGATATCATCAAACCTCATCTTTAGTCCTCGCACCGCGCATACTTGAATCGTCAGCAACGTATTCTATACGCGACTTTTGATATCAACTATCTTCGTAATTCAAGAACTCCGGCGGTCACCCACACTTTCACAAGTTTTTCCGGCATCCTTGGGCCCCGCGATGCCAATGCTCGACTTGAAGACAAGGACGTGGTTGGCGCTTGATGGCCGCGTATCCTTGAGGTGGAACAACAACCCATTTTTGACAATGGATTTCCCGGATCCACCGCAGGAAATGGATTTTCGGGTCCCAGGACCAACAAGAGATCACCAGGTCCGGCAGTGGATACCCGAGACCAAGATCTTCTGCCGATACAGAATTCCTAAAACAGCAATAATTGGTGTGTCAATCATTTTGGTTTTATGCCTTTCGCGATTTGCATCAGACAAACTCGCGGAAGTGCTGAATTTAATCTACCCAGGATAAATACAATGGTGACTTCCGCCCGGTCCACGCTTGTTCCAATCTCTCTCGGCCCGGCGTGCATAAATTTAACTGGCAACTTGCCCCGCGCGCACGCGCCTCAAATAGAAGCTGGCATACATACATATACCCAACGACACCTCATTATCTCCAGACATTCCTTCTCATTCACCACCTTCACAAAACCATGTAATAACCTACATCCCGCTACCCGTCAACGACTCTGCACAACCCATCTACGGATGTAACTACGCACGTGGACTCTAGCCATACCAACTTGACTGACATGATACCTCACATTCATCAACAGTTGCTACCGGTAAATTTCTCACCATTCTAAGGCCTCAAAAACAAATATGGTTACAATTTGCGAACCACCTCATAGAGACTTATCTTGCTTAATTAAGCGTAAGTTTGAGTATGTTAAGATGTTGTAGTTTTGAACCAAAACCCACGGTCGTGCCGGTATCGGTCGCATATACAAGGAACTTCGAAAATAAATACTCATTCATTATGCTTGAAATTCAGAGAATAATCCCGTAAGATTTCACAGTGCCGTCTATCCATTCATGATGTTCTCATTGACAAGACACCTATGGATTGGTGATTATATGAATAGGTTGTGCAGAAAGTAAGAACAGATATTAATGTGTTTTATTGATGAAGCATTACCAAGTGCCTCTATGGTTTCTTCGTCTTTGAAAACGGCTGCTTCTAGCCGCAAAGTATAATCAAGGCAGCCCAAGCGCAAACCTCTACAAACTTTTTCTGAGCAGCCCAACTTCTTCCTGTCGTATATATAGGCGCGTAAAAGATAATTGGCATGCAAAATTGAATTTTCTTTTCCCACGGCATCAGGACGCGACCCTTTGTACTAAGCCTCCCCCACGTGAGGTAGAACTCGGAAATTGAAGTGTTCCTTTCTGGCGCAAAAGTCTCTCCTGATCCCCGTCAATTCGGTTTCCGAAGAATCCCTCTACCCTTCTTTCTCCACTTCCCTCGGGACTCATCGCCAGCAATGCCCGCCGTAGACTGGACAATTGTGCTTTGTATCATTGGCGGCGGTGTGCTGGCCTTCCAGGCCGGTATGAACGGCACGGCCGGTATGGTCGGCGGCAACTCCATCTTTGCCACCTGGTGGTCGTTCTTTGTCGGCTGGATCCCTCTCGCAATATATTGGCTGGCCTCTACGCACGGTGGACGAGATACCAACTACCATAGCGCTTTCGTCGGTGAGTTGATGCCAGCTTCTTTCTTGTTTTTTAGCGGCCGCTCAGCGGCTCTGCTGTCGGTTAGTCTGTTATGGCCACAACTCAACACAAACGTGACTTTATATTAACTCTTGGTACGTCCCACGATTTTAGAAGCACCGTGGTATGCGCATTACGGCGGACTTATGGGAACTTACTATGTGCTGATGATTTGTTTCTTGGCCACTCGTCTCGGAGCCGCGACGATCCTCAGTGTCGCCGTGGGCTCCCAGATTGCCACTGCGGTTGTTTTCGACCATTTTGGTGCTCTCGGTTTGGACAAGCGTGAAGCAGGTGCTGGTCGAATCATCGGCGCTGTGCTGACAGTTCTTGGGGTTGCCATCATCATGGGAGTCATCAATACTTGCATCAACAAGATTCGTGGACATTCAGCTCCCACAACTACAGCCATGGAGGATGGCAAGGCCGGCTTGAACCACGATGAACATGGAAACAATAAACTCCTCGAATCTACCAGCCGCCCAGACACTCCCAGTACCCTTCATTCTGATGAGCCCAACCGCGTTCCGACTTACGACGTTGTCCCAGTAGATGCTGCTCCTGCTCCTGCCCCAGCTCACCACTCTTCACTCGATTGGACTCTGATTTTCCCCATCTTGGGCGGTGTGGCTCTTTCACTACAGGCAGCAATGAACGGCAAGCTTGCTCAATTCTCAGATGGTGGATGGAGTGCATTCTGGTCATTCTGCATGGGGCTTGTCGTTCTTACGTTCATGTTCCTCTGGTCCATCCGTGGTCAAAAGTGGTCATTCAAGGTCTGGATCAACACTGTCCCGCGATGGGTTCACTGGGGAGGTCTATTCGGAGCAATTTATGTGCTCATTATTACCATTGTCACACCAAGATTGGGAGCAACGATCGTGCTCGGTACCTCCGTCTGCGCGCAAGTTGTGATGGCTGTCATTTGCGATCATTTCGCATGGGTTGGCTTGACGAGGAAGCGTGCTAATTGGGAGCGACTCATCGGCACTGTTATCCTAATCGGAGGCGTTGTGCTCATCACCATCTTCTAAGCGACGCAATATGCTCACAATGCTCGTCTTTTTTGGTTGCCCACTCGACACTACTAGACTGATGCGACATTGGACTCATCACCATTTTTGAAGCGACTCAATTTTGCCACCATGCTCTTCTTTTTTTGGCTGACCATCCCACACTACTAGACTGATGCCGTATTACTTCTAGAGCTCGACGCCTACTTATTTATTGTACTTTGGCGATCCGACACTTGCATTCTTCCCTCTATTATCTATCTGGAATCTCGGGATTTTTGCGCTGCTACTCTTGTCTTGTATAGCTTTGTCATCCCGCTTCTCATGCTTTTGATTTTTAATTTATAATACTTCTATCACTCGTAACGCACATCCTTCTTCTAATCAAATCACTTCGCCGACAAGTCCTCGCCCAGTCCCTTTCATAAAACCTCCGATCCACCATCGACCTTCCTTATCCATCACTCGTCCGACCCCTTCTAGGCGCCCGTTGACCCAATTACCCTCTACATGCTCTCCATCGACAGCCCCATACACTCCCTTTCCATGAAACACCAAGTCAGGTCCCTTTCCAAAGCCGCCTTCATAAAATGCTCCGGTTGTGCCAAATGTAATTTTCCCATGAACCGGCTCGTCGTGGGCAAACATGCCAGTAAAGGTAGTCTGGGTTTGTGCACAGGTGTATGTGCCTTGGCCGTGTCTTTCCGGGGGTGTAGTTGGATTATATTGTCCGGTATACGAGGACCCATCTGGGTATATAAAGGTTCCATTCTGTGTTGCTGAAACTGGCAGATTTTAGTTCATCACGTTGATTGTGCCAAATTTCAATACATACGGCCGGAGGGGGGTACACGATTTTTGGGAGCTGACTTGGGCATACTTGTATCTTGGACTTTTGAAGTGCAAACGTTTGTTGCGATCAAGAAATTTCATAGACTCTTCTCATCTGGATGTCTATATATAGATGTTCTGAAAAGCAAATAATATAAAGTCCAGATTTCTTCCGAAAATATCAAGGCGAGATGGCCGAGTTGGTCTAAGGCGCTGTGTTTAGGCCGCAGTTTCTCCGGAAGCGTGGGTTCGAATCCCACTCTCGTCACTTTTTTGCTTTTTTCTTGGTCTGTAGTATATGCATCTGTGCATGGGGTGCGTGCGTATCGGGCGCTGTGGAATTTGGTTCGATCCACCACTGTGCTGTGGATGTGCATCTACATTTGCCCTACGGTGGTCCCTACCACACACAAGACCACACAAAATAATTTCCAACAGTCTCTTGTCGTGAAGAGGGCAGATGAGGCGAGTATCAAACCACGAATTCATTTTGCATGCCTATGCGTTATACGTTATAAATGCGTACGCTGGTACGTACAAACACATCGCACGTACATACACGAGCATCAGTAAATATGAAAGGAAGTCGTTTTGTTATAGACGCCCTTTTGAATGGAGTCAAGACGTCTTTGCCCGCAAACCAGCGTGTAGCCACTTCGGGATAGATTTTTGATTCGGAGACAGACATAGGACTGACGTCCTTATCCAGCGCACTTTCATAGAGATTTAATGGAGGGATTTTTTTGCCCAGGTGAACGGGCCATCGAGATGCACTAGCGAAGATATGGGCTCGGGGAAAACGAGCTTTGGCTCTCTCATACAGGCGGTGCTAGAGTTCATTTGGTAAACACGACGTCGGACTGCTTTGTTATAGTGGATCCCCATGCGATTATCTCGGCACCCGTTGGAGTATTGTAGTCTTCTATCAGTACTTTTGTCCTTTTTCCTTTTCCTATGTCGGAGATTTTCTGACGCGATTCCCTGTCAAAATCAAACGTCTTTCAAATTCCCGAGGCAAGGTGGACCAATGGTCCACATAAAGTTCAAAACACCTCGTTCGGTTAAGCCAACCAAGGATAGAATACATCCCAATCGATATGTGCCATGGCACGGTAAAATTACGAGTGGACCAGCATTTACATGATAATTTATAAAGACTTGATTACCGACTATGCGTCGAGCAGCATGCCTGTTTTGAAATTTACATTCATCTTCCACCGATGCTCCTTCAACCCCTGTGCCGTATCTACAAGTAAAACCTCCCTTCGACTCTTGACATATCCCATCTTATCCAGCACTTGCTGCCTCAGTCCCCGTATGGCATCTTCTACTGCGGCCGACGTTGCCAAAGGCGTAGCTTGTGATGGAGGAGTGGATGGTGCAGAGCCCGCCGCGGTTCCATCGGATGACACACCCGGTATCGGTCGCTCGAGGAGTTCATTTAGATTCTCGACGGCCATTTCCAAATCCCGTTGATTGTCCTCAAAGATGGCAGTCATGTTGTCCCGCGACAGGTAGTAGGCAAAACTGTATGTCCACTTGAGCGTCATGCGGGATTCGAGGAGGACATCCACGGCTTTGCGTAAAAATTGAACTTCAATCCACGACAAGCTTGATGTAGACTGGAGGGCTTCCATTTTCATCGCCGTCTTTTGCAAGAGATCGGATGAGAGCTTGGCGCTTTGTTCGTGGTTGGCGAATCGGTTGTAGTACTGAAATATCGATGTAATTAGCTATAGGTCATCCCGATCATAAGCGAGAAATACTCACATGTAAGTATCTTTCCAATGCTTGCCGACTCTTGGCTTGAGCGTCTCTTGCGTCAATACTGGCTTTCTCATCGAATCGGTTGCAGTTGTACCACTGCGATCCATGCTCTGACCAAGGCCCCAAACATACCCAGCAAAACTCATATTTACATTTCTTACAAGTCATATGGTTGCATCCCCCATTCTTTTCGATCGTCGAGTTGCATTTTGTACATTCTTTGGTGTTGGCAGATATCCAATTCGCGGTTTCCGAGTCATCGGCGCATTTCTTCATCCAAAATCGGACGAGTCGGCACATGCAGGGTTGATGATCGCGGAGTGTGCACCCGTAACAGAACTGGTATCCACATTTACATTTGACGGTTGGTACAATTTCGTCCTGCGAAGTCTGCGGGACATGACATTCAATAGCATAGACACAATCCGGTGCAGGACACCACTTTAAGTGGGTTGAGTCGTCAACATAAGTGCGCAAAAGTAAATTCCGGTACCTATTGCAAAAACAAATCAGTCTTTTGCACAATGTTTATCTTGTAGTGGGAGAATACATACTTTTTGTACACCGTAGGAGACACCACCATCTCGACCGTGTTTTCATCTACAACAAGCTTACAGCCAGCTTCCATACACTGTACACGCCTGCTTTCTCCTTGTGAAGCAATTTTCTCGTCAAGGTAGTGTTTGTAGCAGTTCCGGCAAAAGCGATGTCCGCAATTCAGAGCCAAGGTTTGCAACCCATCATCATCCATGCAGCATATTGGACATTCAAAACCCTTGATTTCCTTGAATTTTGGCTGTTTCTGCGAATCGACGACAACTCCGGCCTTCTCCGATTCTCCTTCTGGGTCCTCCATGTACTTTTCTATGAGCCTTTCCTTATTCCACTTGAATTGTCGCAACAATGTCGCAGCGTGCTCCGGCAGACAACCCAGTATTCCAGCCACATGTGATATCTCCTTTTCCTGATATGCTACGATTTCATCCGTAGAATGGACGATATAGTCTACTTCGTATGGACGTTTTACGTCCTTGTCCGCAACAATTGGCGCAAAGCCATCGCCAGCATCAAAGTCATCTGCATCACTGTCATCCTCGTCATCCGCCGTGTCATCAAAGTCATCCCCATCTGAAGACGTTCCAAAAACACCACTTCCTTCCATGTCATCTTGATAGTCCTCGTCCACATCCATGGCGGACATCTTTCGCAAGGCCCTTGACTAGCTACAGGCGATTGTTGCCGGCCGATCGTCAAACGAATGGTATGATGTGAATATGCTGAGGGTGAAGCTCTGGCAGTTTGATCTCAGATTATATGCCCAACTCAAAGAGACGGATGGCAGACCAAATCTATAAACTTGATTAGCCTCGTCGTCTGGTACTATGAGAGAAACAGGATTGGGAGGCGAGCGGAGTTCAAATCCTTGCAGTCCACTCAATTAAGCTTCTGGCAGAGTGAACTGCACAACGGTAGTGTGGCATTTATGCACGTCAGGTTGAGCAACCTTTTACGCAACGCCATCCAATCACCCTGAACCCAATCCAACCTTTGCATCACATACCTTTCGCAATACGTCCACCGGGTGAGCTAGCTTCGTAACAGCAAATTGGGATAGAGGACAGCTCTTTGCGATTCGGGACTCAAGAGTTGCGTATTGGACGAACTCAGACTCAGATTGCTTCAGGATGGCGTCTTTCCCACTTGCGAGTGACTTGTCAAAATGTGGCTGCCTGCGCGTTAATTCCACCAAGGCTTCGACGTCACGTGATCGACGGGTTCCAATTTTCCCAGCATTGCGCAGCGGATGTCGTCGATTAAATGAGGTTCATATGACTGGTACACCGGTCTTGAAGGTGTATGCTTAATGTATTGGTAATGTGTTTGTCTATGCATATACAGGTCCTACGACATTTGACCATGGACTGACCCCGCCGCCCACGCCCACCGCCTGGACGGCGTAGTAGTATGGCACCCCTTTTGCAGCACTCATGTCCTTCCAAATAGTTGATCCGCTACACACATCATCCAAAATGTCCGATGCCAACGGGTGCTGGTCCCAATTAATCCCCTGCCCTCCTTGAGTATCTTCAACCGCTGTTCCCCTCCATATGACATATCGCGCCGCCCAAGCTGCTCCCCGAAAGCGAATCCAGCCTGGTCGAATGTCATTCAACAGCCACGGCGCCTCAGGTATGGGCATTGGAACTGAGTTCGGGTCGGCATAACCCTGTATACGTAGGGCATAATGGCGGATTTGCGGCATAACGTCTGCTTCTTCCGCGCAGAATCCATGATTCCGGGCACGAAAGCCAGGGGCATGGTAAGCAGAGTATTTGCCCCCGGACTCGCCATGTACGTAGAACCCGCCTAGAGGAGAAAAGGGGTTTAGAAGAAAGATTAAACAGATGCATCTTCTGGATGAATATACGTACCAAACATGCTATGGAATCGCAAACTCCAAATTAACGAACCAGAGATCTTGTCGTTGCGCAAGATCTCCTCATATATTCGTCCATACACCCCAACATTGCTAAACCCAAATTCCCCTACCACAAATGCCTTACCATGCTTTGCAACGTATGCCGAATCTTCTTTCAATCTCTTTAAATCCGATTCGCCGTAATAATAGTGATTGACAAAGATATCAGGTCCATCTGGGCTTGCCAGCGCTTGCTTATCCCATTTCGTTTTAGCCTCCAGACCTCCCATAGTGCCATCTGCAACCAATGTACGCGGCGCCAGAGAGCGAATGAACGACGTCATTTGCAACGTCCAGGATGTCGGAGGATTGGGACCTTTCCAACCACCGAGCTCGTTGCCGAGTTGCCACGCCAAGACTGTTGGATCGTCTCCATAACGTACTCCATTGACAGTATTAATGCGATTTAAAAGAAAGGATAGCATGTGCTTAAAATCATCGATCAGCTCCGGGTCGGTAAAAAATTGGCTCGGCTTCTTGTTGCGATGTTTGGCGTACTGCATGTAGTTGCCAAATAACGCGTCATGTCCGCATTCTCCACCTGCTTGATCCTTTCCCCCATAGTTATTGACTAAAGGAATGATGAGTCGGACCCCTACATCCCGTGCCTTGGCTAAAGCGTGATCTATTGTGACAAAACAGTCTTCATTGTATTGCCGCGGATGCTGCATATGCTGGCCGTTTTCAGCGCCCAGGCAATATGTACGGGTGACTCGACCGCCAAAAAGAGCAATCGTTTTCAGCGCGTCGTACTGTTCCCACGGATCGGGAAGGACCCATCCGCAATCAGGCCTGTCCTCCAAGAACAACAAGTTTGGTGTATTGAGGGAGATGAAGCGGAACGGAGAGTCTCCCTCCAATAGCGTATATCCGCGACGAGTAATGAACGGGAAGGGCGATGCTTGTGCAGGTCTTGGAGGCAAAGGAGGGGGTATTTGGGCCATGTTGAAAGGTGGTTGTGGTGGGCCAATCAAGGACTGCTGCTGACTCTGGAGGAGCTGCTGTTCTTGCTGGAGATGCGC